CATCTGAGCACTGACAAGTTATTGTTGGGGGGGAGAGCGGCCGCTGCTTCTGCGGACGGCCGGCGCGTGCAGCAGGCCTGATGGTGTCATGCCACAGATATGAGCGGAGCAGAGGGGTCACACACACCAGAACAAAATACAATGCGGGAATGATGTCATTCTTCACCCATCATCGGGGCGCCCTCTGCCTTTCCTGAAATCGCATCATCCCGGCTGCACAACATACGATGGGACGATGACCGCCGGCGGTTTTTGCCCCGCCATGAAATCACCTTCTATATTGGAGGAAGAGGAGATCATCTTCACCACAATTACTAAGCAGGAAATGACTACGCTTTGATACAAACTCAACGGAATCATTTAAAAGGCAACGATGTGAAGAGCGATGACGGGCTGCCAAACTCCAGATCTCATTTCTGTTTGCGCAGTTTGTGGTCGGCTGCTCTGGGCTTCCAAACTTTGTACATGTTCACGGCCTGGTGCTTAGTGCATAGCAACTTTGACATATTTCGTCAAACGTTAATGGATAGTTGATGGTATAGAACAGACAAAATAGATACATAGTATCATACATACCATATACATTGTGTGTGTATATCCAATATATACAATATATAACATATATGTAACATCCGGATGGAAAGCCGGCTCCACGCTTCCACGTCACTTGGTGATGAGGGAGCATGGAGACAGCTTCCCTGCTAAACGGGAAGCCAGGTGGCGAGTCTTTACACTCCGCCTGGCTTCTTTAATGGGGCTTCCGGTATCGGTATTCGGTATCGGTGAGTACAGCAAAAAAAAGAAAAATATCGGTACTCGTACTCAATACCGAAAAACCGGTATCGGTGCATCCCTAAAAAATATTATATATTTTATAATATGTATAATAATATTGGTAACAGATACTTCAAATATTTGTTATTACTGGTTATGAATATAATAATATTATATTGCAAAGCTGTTAAAGTTTTTACTAGGATTGTGAACATGTTAAAGGAGAACTATGGGGAAAAGCCTTAACCCCATAGTTCTCCTTTAAAGGACCCCATTCAGCCCTCATACTGGCCCAATATAACTTCTACTTGGACTGCGGTGCCCGTTTCACCTTTGAAATATGCAAAGCACCAGAATAGACTTTAAAAAAAAATCATCTGAGTTTGACAGATCAGCGACCCAATAATGAGTGCACATTCCTAGCCCAAATCTGCAGTTTATTTTTTGGGTGGGGATCTCATTTTTCAGGAAATGGACCAAACCCAACTCAGAGGGAAAAAAAAGCGTTTCCCCCCTTCTTCTGCCATTCCACCATTCATTGTGTGACCCAGATGAGGCAGGAGGAGTATTTAGCACGGAATCCCAGCCCAGCAGAGGTTAGATTTCACGGGAGCTGCCAGTGTTTGTGTAACCTCCAGCCATAGCCAAACACGGCCCAGCTGCGGAGAGGAGGCGAAGGGCAGAGTATTAGTAACTTAACAATTTCAGGCCTGTCACTCCGACATACCAGGTGAACCTTAAAAGGGATTTCTTGAGAGGCGCCTCTGTCTTCCCTGCATACCGTAATCGTTTCAGCCTGTAAAAGAAATCACTGAATCCACTCTCGGAGTTTCCAGGATTTCCAGGCTTCCTTGGTAAAAATAAATTCACAAAGGATGGTGATACATTGTACCCAAAATGTATCCTTCACTGGTGTGCTATATATTACAGCACACTGACTGCTCACATCTGACATCACTGAGAATGCAGCCAATCCATTCACTAGAGACCGGTGACATCACTGAGAATGCAGCCAATCCATTCACTAGAGACCGGTGACATCACTGAGAATGCAACCTATATCAACCAATCAGAACCTGCCTTCCACTCGTTGGACTTTAATAAATCCCGATAAATGAACTCCGATTAGCCGCTCTCGGTCACTAGTTAGCGCTCTTCTTTTTTTCTGTGTTACATTTTCTTGAATAGTGTCGATCACGCAGCCATATGTTTTTCATAATATTTACAGGAATATAATGAGAAAGTAAATCCCGCCATAAATAAAGCCTAAGAAAACAGTCTCATAAAACCCGAACAAAAAGTCGTAAAGTAAGCGTTATGGATGACCCCGGAGGGATGTGCGCCCCCCGCTGTGCGCTGTCCCCAGCTGACACCGCGAGTCACAGGAAATTAGATGGAGGTGGCTGGAAAGTTGACGGCTCACACTCCTATTCCGCTGCAGCCGTTATCTCTGCCCCGATATGTAAAAGTCGTCTATTTCACATCCTGCTGACGGATCCCTTTATGGGGTATTCAGGAAATCGCGGCCAAATATCTCTTCCTCCCATTGCTGGAACCTTTTGTGTCAGCAGGGATGAACGTTAAGAATGGCAGTGTAATCGGAGTGTAAGCTTTGACATCATTCTGTAACCGCTCAGCAGGCGGCCGCATGGGGGACTACAAATCCCAGCAAGGGGGGGAAGCTGCAGTCCCATCAGAGATGGGAGAACCGCACCTCCTCTAAGGTTCTTTTTTTGATCCAATGTTGACTGTGGAAGAGCTCAATGTGGAGCTTTAAAACAGACAAGAAAATGTAAATCGGGAAATCTTTTTTTCCTGTGTATTGTATTCTTCTTTTCTTATTTCAACTCTTTGTATCAAAGTTAATCTTCAGCCTAAACTTTTTGGGGTATTCTTGAAGGGTTATTCTGTGTCCACACTGGGGAAAGTCGCCCCCTCTATATGTCCTGGGGACCATTTTCACGGGAACATAAAAGGATAAAAGATATACAATGTTGCAGTTGTCAGTCAGATCAGAAACATAACGGAAATCTTCAAATGGGGATGGAGAGGGTGTTTTCCCCTCACTTCCGGTTGTATCTTCAGAACTTGCATTTCCTGAAGGCCGGTCAGGAGCATTCTGTCCCTCATATTTATCTCCGGATTTGTTTACTTTAAAAAGTGAAACTTCACCAGTGATGTCTCCGGTCACTTCTTTATATATATTTATGAAGTCCAGGAAAAGGAAATATCATCCAAATACAATATTTTCTTTATTGAATCTCGGTGAGCTTTGTGTATTTCTTCCAGATCTGTGCAGTAATCCCGTGTGAGCTTCCTGCGATAAAGACCAGTCACTGCTGCTGTCTCTGCTGGGTGACTGGTCTTGTCTCCGCCCCCTCCTGTAATAAAGACCGGTCACTGCAGCTCTCTGTCCTTGTACAGGATGACTGGCCTTGTCTCCGTCCTTTCCAGTAATAAAGACCGCTCACTGCTGCTGTCTCTGCTTGTGCAGGATGACTGGTCTTGTTTCCGCCCCCTCCTGTAATAAAGACCGGTCACTGCAAGTCTCTCTTTCCTTGTGCAGGATGACTGGCCTTGTCTCTGCCCCCTCCTGTAATAAAGACTGGTCACTGCTGCTCTCTCTGCTTGTGCAGGAAGACTGGTCTTGTCTCCGCCCCCTCCTGTAATAAAGACTGGTCACTGAAACCTAGTGTGGTGAGTGTGCAGCTGGTAATTCATCATACACTGTTTACTACTCCCAGCGCAACATCTTTCTAAAGACTGGTCACTGCTGCTCTCTCTCTGCTTGTGCGGGGTGACTGGTCTTGTCTCTACCCATCCTGTAATGAAGACCGGTCACTGCTGCTTTTCCTCCTTGTGCAGGGTGACTGGTCTTGTCTCCACCCCCTTATGCAATAAAGACTGCTGCACTCTCTCCTTGTTCAGGGTGACTGGTCTTGTCTCCGCTCCCCCCCTCCCCTGCATTAAAGACTGGCCACTGTTGCACTCTCTCCTTGTGCAGGGTGACTAGTCTTGTCTCCTCCCCCTCCTGTAGTTTCCTGTAGCAAGTGGGGCTTGCTGGGTCCCTTCCACAGCTCTGCTCTGCACAAGTTATGTACAGCATAAGCGGAGGTTTAAGAGGGGGACCTGCTCCGGATTATCTTGTGTTCTCGATCTCTTCCACAGACAAAATTCTGTGGTTGTAATTATGACAGCCACACTCTGCTGGAAGCGGGACAAGGAAGAATTGTCAGCAGCAGAGGGGATGGTGCGGGACCTACATCTCCGTGCTGGGAGAGAGAGCAACATGTCTCTAATTACAAAGCACTGAATTCCACCCAATTCTAAAGTTTCAGCGCTGGGTGAAAATCGCCTCTCACCTTCTTTGAGGCTGTCTGGGCTTCTAAATATATATTTTTGGATGTCACACAATACCCCTCCAGTCACAGCTCATTGCCAGTTCTCGTCTTTCCGCCCCTTATTTGGAGCTTATAGAAAAGAATAAGAGAAACAAAAATGCAAAACATATTTTCCATAGACTCTAAAAAGACAGACCCGGAGAGAATGAGCGGAGGGGCTACATGACTGGGGGGAGGAATAGTCCCGGGAGTTGGAGTTCAAATAAAATGGGGATAGCTGGTCTTACCTGATTGGACGTTGTGGTCAGGTGTCCGGGAGGAGCCACATTGGAAGGAGCTGCAAGGGCTGAGGGACGTCCTTTCTGGAAAATCGACGAAGGAAGCAGGTTGTCCCTCCCTCCCTCCCTCCCTGAATGTTGTGGTTATGGGGGTTGTGGGGTTCTTTTTGTCACGGCAGCTTGGCGGGTTAGGGGGTCTTTTGGGGGGTCTACAAAATCGGAGTTGATTACAAAAATGGGGGGCCATCATAGTATGGGTGCTTCCCTCCTGTTGGTGTCTGGACTTGTAGGGGGCGGGGCCTGGCCCCTGGGAACCTGGAAGTAGTAATTGTCCTCGAGCTGGTTGTGGTGCGGCTGGGGACATGGATGGAGTGTTAGTAGGGGCCTTTTTGGGGCTGTTGGGCACCCGAAGACCCCTTCTCAGGTCAACAATCGTTTAGAGTATTATTTGTATATATTATTTTGTTTATTACTTTTGGTTATTGTTAAAGTTGTTTGGTTTAATAAAAGGGCTGCTGTGGCCGTTAAAATCCATGTCGTGCAGTCCATGTGTTTATTGGGGTGTTAACAGAGGGCCGAAAATTGACAATTTTTTTTAATCTTCCAGGTCTTCTTTGTCTCCGACCTTTTCAAGCCATCAAAGAAGAACTGCCCACCACCCCCTGTAAAGAAGGACACGCTGTCACCCGTGGACATTATCGACAGGAACATCGTATAAGAACCACAAAAAAAAAAAAAAAAGATCGTGAACATAACTTCTGACGGTGAATTCAACTGCCTGCTGCTTTCAAATCTCATCAGACAGTAGAATGTAGGGAAAGACTGTTATACCCAACCAAAAAGAAAAAAGAAGAAAAAAAACATATGCATAAAAAAGTAACAAAAAAAAAAAGAATTGTCTGCTATGAGGCCTTTCGATTGCAACGCCGCGTAACCTGGGTGATTACCGACTAACAGAAAGCCAAGCAACGTCGGGACATGGAGTTGGAATTTTCCGGATGTACAACCCGATCGTTATCTGTTCATGTTTTAATGAACAATTATCCTGTTCATAACTTTATGAACGCTAAACTTTTTTTTTTTTTTTTTAAAAAGGGAGTCAACTAGATCCGCTTGGCTCGTAGAGAAGCTCACAAGTAACGATAGCACTAAGATTTTTAATTTTTTTTTTAGGAAGAAATAGCACTGACCCGTTGGGGGCCCCAGTTCCCGGGAGTCACGGTGTTTGTTGTATCTGTGTGGTTCAAGAGAGAGGTTGACAACACAAGAGGGATCTCGGTGTGCAAAGATCTGTACATAACTATATATATAAAAAAAAATTTTTTAGTAATTCACCGGTAATTTAAACAAAATAATTTAAAAAAATAACCCTGAATCAGGCATTCCCACTAAGCTGGCACCCTTTCATCTGTCTACCCTACTTGAGGCCACCAGAGACATACAAGACTTTTTGACGAAATTGCCCAATACAGCCTTGCCCTTTTTTTTTCTTGGTGTGTGGAGAAGATTCCTTGTTGAAAGACTGTCGAGAGTTCTGTGTCTTGCTTGAGACTTTGTTTAAGCACTAGTAACTTTGGGGTTGATACCCAACGTTCATGATTTCATAGCAGTTTCGAGAGGCACCGCGGGACGGTCCCGGCTAAAAAATAACCCACCTTCATCTGTCCAATTTCCAACGTCGTCTGGAGCGAGGTTCTTAAAGCCATTGCATTTCACATTGTTCGCCATTACGAGTCTACAAAATAAAAAAACTCTTGGGCCTGGTTGGCAAGCGCCTTCATTGTTTACCATTACGAGTCTACAAAATAAAAAAACTCTTGGGCCTGGTTGGCAAGGCGCCTTCGTTGTTCACCATTATGAGTCTACAAAATAAAAAAACTCTTGGGCCTGGTTGGCAAGGCGCCTTTGTTGTTCACCATTACGAGTCTACAAAATAAAAAAACTCTTGGGCCTGATCGGCAAGGCGCCTTCGTTGTTCACCATTACGAGTCTACAAAATAAAAAACTCTTGGGCCTGGTCGGCAAGGCGCCCTCGTTGTTCACCATTACGAGTCTACAAAATAAAAAAACTCTTGGGCCCGATCGGCAAGGCGCCCTCGTTGTTCACCATTAAGAGTCTACAAAATAAAAAAAACTCTTGGGCCTGGTCGGCAAGGCGCCCTCGTTGTTCACCATTACGAGTCTACAAAATAAAAAAAACCTCTTGGGCCTGGTCGGCAAGGCGCCTTTCAAGAGCCACCGTGTGGAATAACTCAACCGCAACCTGCGGCAATACAACAAACAACTCGGACATTCGTCGGGTTAGGGCGGTCCGATCAATGACGGAGTGCCGTGGGTTTGCGGCACTTTTATCACATAAAGTTCCGAGCGTTCCATCGGAAACAAGAGAAGGAATCTGAGGCATTCGATAAAACCTGTGAAAAAAAAAAAGGTGACACCGAAAGGGATGATATTATATATTAAAAAAAAACAAAAAAACACAAATATATGAATCTCTCATTTGCACATCCATATTACATAAGCATCCGTCCTATCATTTCAACTATAGCAAGCTATGATTCTTTTATATAATATATTATATAAATAATGTATAAAACATTAAAAATTAACAATGTAAAATATTATTTTCGAGAGAAAAAAAAAAAAAGCAATGTCTAGATATATCCACTATGATCATTACCTGTGT